CTCTCGGCTGAGGTAATATTTTTGGCAATAAATTTATTTACAATTTTTCAGCACTTTAACATCTTTCTAATAAGATATCTTATTGAGCATTGAATTGTTAAAAATTGCTTATCAATTTAATTTAATTTGTGATATTATTACAGTAGTTTAATTGTGTTTATAAATCCGAAAAACCAATTCAGCGCGCAGTTCGAATAAATATAAATATAAAAATATAAATATAAATGTCCTACACAGTACACTTTATCCTAGGAACTTTGTCCAACGGATGTCATTTTGAAATATCGCGATAATCTTGTGATATCCATATGAATGATTTCAGTTATCCAACAGAGGACGTACAAGTGTCTGAGATTCCATGGAGATTTAAACAATATCCGTGAGATATCCAAAGGATTCTACGAGATATATATATATATATATACGAGATATATATATAAACTTAAATCCGCTGTTTGCTCACAGGTGACATTAGTGAGCGTACAAAGCTACCCTGGGCACACAACACACTTTTTTTTATATGTTTGATATCTGTCAACATTAAGTTGCACATGTGCACATCATCAGCAATTTCATACAACAACATACATTTTTTCTTTCGTAATCATGTCTAGTTTTTTACTAAAAAAAAGCGGGAATTTTTGCTTTTCTGTTTCAATTTGAAGAAATCGGCTGCCGAATCGCATCGAATGCTTGTGGAGGCTTATGTCGACAATGCTTTATCGGAAACAAGCAGAGATTGGTTTCGCCGATTCAATAACGATAATTTTGACCTGAGTGACAAGAAGCGAGAAAATCGGCCCAGGAAGGTTGAAGACTGTCAATTGCAAGTTCTTTTGGACGAGGACGATACCAATCGCAAAAAATGCTTGCCGAGCAATTGGGTGTTTCTCAAGCAGCAATTTCCATGCGGCTACCATGGCATAAGGAAGGTTCAAAAGATCGGAAAATGAGTACCGCATGAATTGAACGATAGGCAGATGGAGCGACGCCAAAACACATGCCAAATTCTGCTTGCCAGACAAAAAAGAAAGTCGTTCCTGCATCGGATTATGATAGGCGATGAAAAGTGGATCTATTTTCAGAATCTTAAACGGAAGAAATCTTGAGTTGATCCCGCCCAACCATCAATATCGTCCTCAAGACCAAATCGCTTCGGACAGAAGATGATGCTGTGCATTTAGTAGGATCAGGAGAGTGTTATCTACTACGAGCTTAAAACCTGTGAAACTGTTAATGTTCACCACTATCACCAACAACTGATCAAATTGCACCGTGCTCTGCGTGAAAAAAGGCTGCATTATTGGAAAAGACATGACAAGCTGATTTTCCTCCACGACAACGCATCATCGCACACGTCAACAATGGTCCAAACTACTTGGAGACACTCAACTGGGAAGTGCTACCCCATTTCGCTTACTCACCAGACCTGGCACCTTCTGACTATCACCTGTTTTTGTCGATGGGCCACGCGCTCACTGAGCACTTCGATTCTTATGAAGACGTCCAAAAATGGCTTGATAAGTGGTTTGCCTCGAAAGATGAGAAATTTTTTTGGCATGGTATATACAAATTGCCCGAAAAATGGGAAAAATGTATAGTTAGCGAGGGCAAGTACTTTAAATAAATTTTGCTTTCTAGGAAAAAAAAAATGTGTTTTTCTGACTAAAAAACAGCAGATTTAGCTTATACACCTATGTGTGTGTGTATATATATATATATATATA